TTATAATTATAGTTCAATTTCCTCCCCGGCAAAACTTCTATTTATATTTTATCCAAAGATTTATCCATAGCCACTTTACCAGATAAACACCTCTTTGGCAGATTGTGAAGATTTCATTTGATCCTTTGTAGATCTCATGGAATAAAGTCTGTCCTGGACTGATTAGGGCCATTAGCCAGAAACTATGGTCTCTAGATAGATGCTTCTCAGTTTGCCAAAGCTGATGTTGTGGCTTTGTCATTGACCTGAGTCCATTAGTTTGCAGAGACGGTCAATAGATGGAGCTTATAGTTTTTAGCATCTATTTTGACAGGAGAGGTGACATTTATTTTTATATTTATTTATGTATTAAAAAAATATATATACATTACACATATGGGGGCAAGTGTGTCAAGAAAGAATGATTTCCCAAACAACAATACCTTAGACTGTTGAACTGGTCAGAGTTGTAGAGTGGCCAACATGGCTGGACTTCAGTGTAGGACCTGCCAACTTCCTGTGGAACAGAAACTCTGGGGTTTTCCAAACTGAGGTTTACTCCCAGGATTGTGGGCAACTGATTTAATGGAGAGATTACCAGATTATTGGCTTCTGTTCTGGCCCCCATCTCACACTGGCCAACTGTGAATGGACTACCCTGGGGATTCAGCTTATCTGGTGACATCTTCTGTCAGCTCGTGTGTTGACCTCAGTGATGCTTGTATTGTCTCGCAACTCTTCTCTACATCTCAAACAAGAAAACTCCAGTAAAATATCTTGTTGCAACATTTGGTAATTTTTGTGGCTGATGCAAAATGTTGAGGATGTATAGCTTAGCAAATATACTTTCGACAAATGGATCCTTGCCCCAACGGCCCTGTTACAGGGAACAAGTTGTCCTCTTTGCTGTAGGTCACAACTACAAACTCATTCTATCTTTGACCGGCCCATGTATATATGTCCATATATATATGTCCTCTTTTTAATTCCGATTTTTGAGTAAAGTTATTTAAAAATAAATAAAAGGTAAAAAAAAAATAGATTACATCTATTTTTAAGATGTCAAAGCGTTTATATTTTAAAGTAAAAATCTTCCCAAGTCTACATTTGTCTTCTGTAAGTTCCCTCCAATAGCAGAATTGTCTACGTCTGTGACTGGTCAGGTCACCTAATCCCTAATTGTCCCAGAGAATGTGACCTTTGACATATGGGCGGCATCCCACAATGCAACACTTTGCTGCTCATTCGCTACAGCTGTACAGCTGCAGTGCCACTGTAAGCTGTGATTTTTTAACAATAAACTGGTATTTAAACAACAATTAAATTACTGGTATTGTGTTTCTTTTCAATAATTACATGAAATATTAATTCTACAGACCTTACTGAATATTGAATGAAAGGCTCAATAACTTATCGCAGTCAGGTCTGTAGAGATAATATTGATGATATTATTGAAAATAAACACATTATCAGCAAATTTTATCGATAGATGGAAATTGAATTTATAAATATCTAAAATATCAATGGTATAGAATAGAAGTTGATGGAATTTGTTACAAGATAGGCTCTGGGCATGGACACATCATTGAATTATCATTGGTTGAATTAGACATGTTCCAATATCTTTTCTAATAATTGATAAGATTAGAGAGGTGAGATTTGCATACTTCCATCTCTGTAGTTGATTCTCGCTCTCACTTGGCACCTTATGTTGGCAATTAAAACCTTATGTTATATTAAAATACCAATATTGGAGGGAGCACACAATTATTGTGGAAACAAACCCAACTCCTCATCGTGCAACTAAAAGTTGCTGTTGGCACCGGCCATTATTTGCACCATCAGGATCGTGCAAATATTTATTCCTAATTTTATTTATTACAATTCAAAACACAATTATTATTTTTAAATTGTAATAAATTAAATGTTGAAAAAAAAATCAATTTGCACAAGGAATATAGACATAAAAAATGTAATTAGTCATTAATTGGCCGGGAGAATAAGTTAGTCCAGCTGTCTGTGCCTCACTGCAGAACCCACATTTATTCTCTGCTTTTTGTTTCATTTTCACAAAAAAGTTTCCACCCTCTTTTTTTTTTTTTTAATCATTAAAAAAAAAATTATAAAATAATTCTATATACAGTAGAACATATTCAATGAGAGGACACTTTCTAGAAGACAAAGGACAACTTTCATTGCCACACAACATTACCATTTTTGAAATTATCAACTCCCCGGTAAGAAGACATCTCTCCCTGAAGGACACTTTGACTCTGCAACTTGGTGTTGTTCCAGAGTTTGTTCCACTGTACTTCTAAAACTGACTATTTCTCTCCAATTGTCTTAGTGTTACTTTGGTTAGTCATTTATTTATTTTTAGTCAAGTTTGGCCTCCACCTCAATAAAGATGAGTTCCTAAACTTCCAAGATCTCGTTGTCTCTCACACCACAACTACATTGGTCACAACTTGGATACACAAGGTAATAACACCTAAGTGTGTGATGTTTCTGTAACCCAAACTTATTTATTTGGTTTTGGTCTTATTACCTTGTGTTTAAAAACACATTTAGAAATAGACAGCATCAAACAACAAGATTTAGAACAGGCCATCTCAAGCCATTGAAAATAGAAAATAACAACAAAATCTACCCCACTTGCCCAAAATGTAGCTTGACACTTGCAGCTCCAGAACACATTTTGGCTTGTATTAGATGTACTAAACAGAACCTTTGGGAGAGGCCACTGCTTATCATCAAACAGCTTGAGGAGCATGGACTCGTGGAATTTGTGTAATCCTTGCATAAGAAACAACACAACAGCAACAAACTAAATTTGAGAAGAATATTCATTTGAAGAAGGATTTAATCTTTTTCCTTTATATAACTTGCTTCCATGTCCACAAATCTTGTATACTTCCTGATTATGTAGAAATATGAAACTTTGCATACATTTTAAACCTGATGTAGAATTTGACTAATTGTCAGACTTCTGGTTGTCAGGGTGGCTGGGAATGGACAAATTTTGAAATTTAATTTGCTTCAACACTGCATAGAAGTATATAATACTTGCGCATTCCAATTAACAAATGAGGCATATCCTGACCACTAGCATGAGTGTTTTTAGATGGCAGAGCGCCATCTAGTGGAACAGAAATCAACTAAACATTTATTTAACTTGGTCCGTGATACTTGGCCAACCTGATTTCTTGATTAAAGAAATGTGCGTCCACGTGGAGTTTGAACTTGTTGAGCCGTGTTTATATTTGAACTGTTGTCAAAGTTTCATCCACTAGATGTGAGTATTCTTTGAACTGTGAAATAATAAAATATTAAGAATGTCTACCTTGCGCAAAATTGAATACCGAGACATTTTGCGATATAACTTTGAATGCGGTTTGGGCATTGAAAATGTTTGCAAGAAATGACCCCTGTACTGGGAAATTGTCCACATCTTGCTACCACATCCAGGTGGCATCGTGAGTTTCAGCGGGGAAAATATGGCATAAGAGACGCGCCAAGGTCAGGACATCCAGTTTCGTCAGTTAATGAGGAAAACATCGCTACTGTCAAGACATTATTGGAGACTGATCAACATATAACTTATACCATTCATCAGTGGTGAACCTTCCCAGTGGTGTCACCAATTTAGTCCACCAGACCGCTTCTTTATAGCTCTAATACTCTATTGGATCATTTTGCTTTTATATGCTACGTGGAAGGGTCCCTCAGCAGAGCTGACTGCTATAAGGGGGCGTCCACAGGTGGTGGATAGGGGAACGACCTTCAGATATGAAGGCCAGCAATCAGAATAACTCTGATGAACAAACAGTCGCAGACCAACAACAGCATTGTTAGAAGAGGAGAAAAACCTTTAAAAATCCTGAGTTCAACTGACCCAGTTGATAGACCTCTTCAGAGATATTGAGGTCTGTACTCATGTTGACAGCAAAGGCTTCCATGTTAGGAACGGCCTCAAATTACGATCAGACTTTCACCAAAGTGTGCATTGGTGCCATGATCAACGAAAGCTGCACTCCTACATCCCATTCCATGAGATCAAGCTTGAGGGACTCATGGAAGTCGTGTAATCTTTACACAAGGGGATAAGAAACAAACAATAACAACAACAACATGGAAGGGTGGAATCTCAGAAATGGTATTTAAGCAAACTTTGAACATAGGCTTTTAGGACAGTAGAATTGCATATAAATATTTGTATCAAGCAATGGTCTTCCGCAAACAATAAGGACAAGTTAATTAAAACAAAGCAATAATGTGCCATATATATTTATGGAATGAAAACATTAAGCCATGAAGGTTTCTTTTACATGCAAAACAAACTTCCATTGTCCTTACTGCGGTAAAAAAATATTGGGAGGGCTTGGCTCATCAGTGGTGAACCCTCCCAGCGGTTTCACAAATTTAATCTACCAAACCGAGCTTTAATACTGTACTGGACAATGTATGCTACACTGAATTATGTTGGAAAGTTTGTGATTAACGAGGAAGAAATGTTTCTGGTGAGTGCATCTAATGTCATTTGGCAATGGTGTCATTGTTTATATAAGAAGTGGAAGATCTTTATCAATATGAAGACATGGAAACCTCACAAATAAAATTAATTCCAGGAGATCCATCCAGATCTCACTAGATTATTGAAAAAATCTGATCTTGAGAGTAAAGACAATATGCAAAGTGTGGAATGCCAGGTATAAACATCTCATCATAACTTAGAAGCCCAACTTTTATTCCAGAACATAGTGAGAGTAAAATATATTATAAAGGACTGCGGTGTATGATTATTATTTTCCGTTCGCCATTACTCTTCATATTTTCACCCTTTCATGCTTCATCCAAAAAAGTTAGAAATAGTAAATATTTCTCTTTGAAATAAATATTGATTTTTCACAGAAAAGAAACTTATGCGGTGCAACTTTAAGTGTTGTTTTATAATCATACGCCGCAAGTCCTTTATAATTATTATAAGTTACTTTAAGTATTATTACCGAACAGAAAAATACGTCCAGGGGTAGCCTAGTGGGACATGGCATCTGCCCGTAGCGGAAGGTTGTGGGTTCGATTCCCGCCCTGGACACTTTATTTTCCGTTCGCCATTACTCTTCATATTTTCACCCTTTCATGCTTCATCCAAAAAAGTTAGAAATAGTAAATATTTCTCTTTGAAATAAATATTGATTTTTCACAGAAAAGAAACTTATGCGGTGCAACTTTAAGTGTTGTTTTAGTAAAATATATATTTTTAAAATTATCCCTAGTACACATGGTACAGGCCATGATAATCATGGTGGGTAGTTAGCGACTGCTTTTACTGTAAGTGCACCACATGTCTACACATGGTACAGGCCATGATAATCACGGTGGGTAGTTAGTGGCTGCTTTTACTGTAAGTGCACCACATGTCTACACATGTGAAAGCATTTAGACTTTGCACTTATAAATGCACAAACAGGGTTCTCCTAGATGGGCAAACAGTTATCTACAGAAAGTGGATCAATATTTTCTCAAGTCCTCTTCTGTGTTAAGCCTTTTGACTGTGCTGTTCTCTTGGATTTGTGATCAGCCATTGGTCTTGCTTTTCACTCCTTTTTCCAAAGAAACATGGCGAACTGTCCTTATAAGCAATCTTTTGGCTGAGAATTACTCTCTCACTCCGGACAGTGGAGTGTGTCCTGGCTGAATTCAGTATCACACAGAGCGCACCTTAATTTCTCAGATTTCAATAATAGAACGTGATTGTGTGTAAAAAGGGAGAAAAAAGAATTCTCACTTGGACAACTCTACAGTCATTGGGATATAAACTCCACAGTAGTTGTTGTGTGGAAATACCTACAATGAGAATAAAGTACAGAATTTCTTGTATCGTCCAGCTGTATAGACTGTGGTCTGTGGTAGTTCTGATAACTAGAGGAATGTTTCTTTGTAAAGTATTGGAATCTGTACATCCAACAACCGGTGTTATTTAATGTCTCCGTCACGCTATTTACCAAACCAATATTCTGTTTTGCAGAGGTTGAAATATCCCATAAGTGCCCCAGACAACCTGAAGGAAGCCTGCTGGGCTCCGTTGTTAGTAGTCAGGTCCAGATTTTGAGGTTAATTTCCTCACCATGGCATCGAGAGGATTTCCTCCAGTTTCTGCCCTCAGAATATAACCCGGAATGTAGCTTGGAAGGTTCAAATATCGCCTAAGAAACGCATCCTGAATTAACGTTAAGGCCTGGTCACGTGCCAAGATTGGAGCCGCATAGAGCAGAATCATTATTTCCGCTAACACCACTGAACAATGGACAACAATAAAAGCGGCGGGACGGGATTTGAACTTTGTGGTTAAAATAGGGCAACTGCAATATGATGACGTGATTTTAAAAACCGAGTTATTTGACCATGTCTTTTTGCAGGAAAAGTGAACGAATTTAAAATTAGAAATAAGTAATTTATGAGGAGGTACTTTCTTACACGAGGTGAAAAGTCTCTGGAAGCTTCGTTTATAGGATTTCCGAGCGTGAAACTTTTCCTCACAGTCTCTCCAGCAGTAATCTGCCATCACGTGGGTCTTCCCTGGTACCGATCTTCCATAGTATTAATGTCCTGGGAAAATTTTCACCTTGTTTCCCCCCATATCACCCAAATTGTCAGGAAAGACGTCCATCTGGCTGGCTATACACGTTCATGCTCATATTGCAACACAGTCTCTTTGAGCATGTTGTTCACCTGGTAGTCTTAATCCCTGTAGTTCAGAACTACCGAAACGAACGAGCTCCAAGCACTGAATTCATTCATGAAGTTAACAAGATCGGGGTCATTTATGCGCTGCCTTGTCTGGGGGCCATCAAACATGCTTTCGTCACTGACTCCATCTTCACCGTTGTGGTTTATTTCAGCTGATGTCCACAAAGATGTCCGAAGGGGATAAAAAGCCTTCAACATATAAGTTAGCAACATTGCACACCTTGAAACAGGAAGCTGAAAAAAGATTAGGTTTGCAGATATGAAATCAAGATACCAAAAAACCCTTAGTATACATGGACTTAAGGAAGTTGTACCTTTTAGCATGTATATCGGGGTTTAGACAATAACTCTAAAAAATATTACTGTGACCTTTATTGAAGACACACGAGATAACCAAGTGTGATCAAAATTGCCCCTGTCTCTTTCAAAAAAGCAGACGACCGGCGACATCAAAATATGAAAATTTCTTAAGTTTTTCAATGAGTGTAGTTACGCTATACCGGCAACAGATCTGAACATTTGTGTCGGCCAGTGTAATATATGTAAAATATAATCGAAATACAATAAATGGTATCACACAATGGTATACAATAATAGGTATCACAAATGATATCAGGGCGCAAGAAAGGAACATATCACTCAGGCACCAGAGGAAACTACTCTTCTGCAAAAGAAATACTCATTCCCTCTCCTTTCCTCCTACAATCAGAAGCAGCAGTCGTCAAATGTGGTCAACTTGTCAAACCGTACCTATCTCCCTCAGAAATATCACTTTTAGAGAAAGGCCTCAAGTTCCGCATCCCCTCCAAGCCCAATATCCCTGAGGTCATTAGCTCCGTCGAATCTACCATCAAACAATACAGCCTGCAAGACAAACATTCCGTGAGAACAATGGTTGCCAAGACTCTAACTAAACCTTATACCCCTCCTCCCAACTACCGTGCAGACCTAAGAACACTTCAAAGACTTAAGCAGAGTAAATCCATAGTCATCACCCGATCCGACAAGGGCTCAAACACCGTCATCATGAACCAAGAAGACTACCGAGCCAAGATGCACGATCTACTCGGATGATACCACCTTCTCCCCCATCTCAGACAAGGTTAGCCTCTCTCTAGTTAAAGTTTTCAGAACCTCCCTACTACAGTTGAAAAAATCTAAGCATATTACCCCCGATGATTACAAGTTATTTATTTCCAACCTTTCCAATAGCGCATACATCTACGGCCTGCCTAAAATCCATAAGCCTGACGTACCACTTCGTCCGATTATCGCCTACCATCTTTCACCCGCTTATCCATTGGCCAAATTCCTCTCTAACTACCTTTCCCCTCTGTTAAACAACCACAGGAATATATACTCCATACGTAGCACCCCCCACTTCATCAGTGAGTTAACTGCCTTAAATCCCGCCCCACATTTTACAATGTGTTCCTTCGATGTAACCTCCCTCTACCTCAGTCTTCCCCACAATCTCATCATAGATAGTCTGGAGCGGTTCCTTGGCTCACAGAGTGTAGATCCCCATACAGCTTCATCCATAGCACAACTTACCAAGCTCTGCTTGAACACGAACTGTTTCACATTCCTTGAAAATCATTACAGACAAATTAAGGGCTCCCCAATGGGTAGCCCTCTTCCCTCTATTGTCGCAGAAGTCGCTATGTCCGAAATAGACAACTGGATCACCCGTACCCTCCCCATAGATATACAAATATGGCGCCGTTATATTGATGACGTCTTTTGCTTATGCAGAAACGGCCAGGAGAGCACCATACTTGCAGCCCTCAATAGTTACAACCCCAACATCTTCTTCACTTTGGAAATAGAATCAAACCAGGTCATCCCATTCCTTGACATCCTAATATACGTACCGCATCCTCATTCCACACCACAGTCCTACAAAAAGCAGTGTCCCCCAGTTATACCCATTTCAATTCACACTGCCCATTTCCCACAAAATCAACATAGTAAAAACTCTCACTAAGAGAATCTATACCCACTGTTCGCTCGATATATTTAAAGAAATTGAGAGAAATCTCATCATATCGCACCTCTCCATAGCATCGTTTCCGCTTGAATTCATCAACAGACATTCATATACACCTGGCCCCTCCAATCTTCCTAAAATTTACAGATCGTTATGTTTCCTTCCCTACTCCCCCTCCTCAGTCGACATAGCCAGAAGCCTTAAAACATACGGTATCCGCACCTTATATAAAACTCCTCCAACCTGCTCACATCCCTCCGTCACCCATATACTAAATCGCATGCCCCTCCTGATCCCCTCCATTCTGTTGGCGCGGTCTACTCTGTCTCGTGTGAGCAATGCTCTGCCACATACGTTGGCGAGACAGGTAGATCCGTCGCCATCAGAATGTCTGAGCATTCTAGAAACATCTCCAACCAAGACACCAGGTCCCTCCTTTACCAGCACACACTCAATACCGGCCATACATTCAACACCAACCACCCCACCATACATTACAGACGCATTCATAACCAGCACCAGCGATTAGTTCTCGAATCCATAGAATCCCATAGACATAACAGCATCAACCGCAAAATAGATCTTCCTGATGCCTATCGTGCTCACCTGGCCTTGTAGTAATAACCATAACACGATAGCCCGAAATCAACATTGCCTAAAATTCTTTGAAATATCGCATATCCAGTAATTTACGTTAGCATATTCCTCTATAGTCTCAAACTCCAAATATACAAATGCCCTATTTGCCTATTATCTCTCCAATTACAATAGTCATAACAAATGCAAATCCCCATTCACATAGCACATTCCGCTAATATGTAAATAATCATGTGTATATATTCTCTTTCTAGCCACAGTACCTACATTATAGTGTCACGTTTACCACCTGTAGAAGGGTCTTTTGCCCGAAAGCTTGCACCGTTATAATTGTCTATTAAATAAACTTTTCTTCTTTTATTTCGTTTTATAGCATAAATAAAATATTTATTATGGAAATTAAGTAAAAAACTAGAGTTAACACGGGAATGGACGAAGAAGGTGAAACTAAATGACAGAACCCAATATAAACGGTCGTACTAGATGTCTCTTTGTTGATGTCGTAATTCAAAAAGCGATATGTATGCACAAAAGGTGATGTTCATAAAAAACCTGAAACTACGTAAAGTTAATAACGCTTTATAAATACACCCTATGACAAAAGAATCGACGCACCAAGAAGTTGTCCGATTGGGACAGAAATATGTGAAGAACAAGTTTAGGGGAAATAATTAAAATTTCAGAACAGAAGTATCGCAGTTTGATTGTCACAAGTCAATATGTCGTCGGACTGGTCTGGATGTAGGCTGCCGTGTCAT